TGTGCAGGCGCGGACCGCCTCAACAGGCGGTTGGGTTCTGAAACCAGATCTTGGGTTCGAGGTTCATAGACGGTAAAGAGTTTAGGGATTAGGGTAAGTGTTTTTTAGGCTTATGCTTTGAGGTCTGGGGTTTACGGCTTAAAGATCAACGCTTGGAATCCTGTATGCTTTGGGGGCCTGAGTTTCTGTGTATTTACCACTTGCCAATAGGGTCGCTCTCCTATTCCAGCCTGGTTTCGGCGAAGGTTTGCCTTTACTCGTGGTCTGCAGGCGGGAGAAGCGGGGAGGAGTATGTAACGTGGAAGCCAGTAACCTTGGATCAGACAAACAGGAAATAGGTCCTTCTTCAAGCCTGCCACGGTTCTGAGGGCCCTCGGGATTGATTTAAAGGGGATGATCCTGGTTCTGCTGCTAGGACCTTAGCGGTGCCTTGTATAATCGTCCTGAAGGGGCGGTGAAAGCACACGATGGGGCGCCTTTTCAATAAAGATGGTCCAACATCAATGGTAATGCAACAGGTATAGAAGCTCTTTGTGGGGTGGGGCGGGGATACATGTTGCGTATAGAAGGCTATGTAAATTCACCCTCTGTAGAAATCCTACATCAGTCGTTGTTTGCCACCTTGCGTGTCTGAGGATCCAAACCAGCTGAACCTGAAAGCCTTGTCAAGGCCTCTTGGGAGTTTGCAAAAAGAAGTGTCCTCCTTGTATACCCCTAAAGACCATACTCCTCACCACAATGAGGGCCCCCCAGAAAGGCATCCTAGTTTTCGGAAGACAGAAAACTAAGTCGACAACAAGGCGGCCGCGTTCTAAACCTGCACCCGTGGCGATAACCCTGATGCTTATCATTATCAACATGTATTACATACAGTAACTGCTTGTGCTGTCATGTTATGGCCGCTAGTATTATGATCAATTCTACTTTCACAGCCATCATTTTTGTGTTTTGTATTTATTATAGTAACTATTCTCATTATTTTTCTTGCTACTATTATTATTGTTATTATCATCAAACGTGAAACCAAAGCCATGACCCAGGTGGCTGCGCAATTTGGCCGGCATGCCGCAGCAGTGGCTTGTCTCGTTCGGAGTGAAGCACGTGCAGCAGAAGGTTTGCGGTTCAGTTCAAGTAGGGCAATCTAAAGCGACCTCACCCGACCTACTCTAAATGGTGGTTTATACAGGGAACAGTACCCACTGGGCCTTAAGTTGGGAATTGACATTAGTCTGAAGTACCCTTAAAGTTGGGTTCAAGGATTACTTGACGGTTCATGGGACTTGGCAATTACTTCTACAGATGTTATTTCAGGGTTTTCATAGCCCTTACTTTCTAGAAAGATTAGGCGCTCTTTTTGGGTAATTATGATGTTCTATGAAAGGAACGCATGTGCAGTGGCGCTCATGCGGGGTTGCTGAGGTGGTCGTCGACAGGGGCTACACAAGGCATTGCCGCAGCTGGCGTGAGGAACTGGTACAACAACTTTGCCAGACGCGCGTGGTGCAGGTGGGGATTTCCCTTAAATTCATTCTGTAACGAGTCGCTAATACGGGTCCCTATAGTGGGGTTCCATAAGGAAAGGGCCCCTGTAGTGGGGCTCCGATGATAAAAGGGGCGTTTTGGGAACAGGAATTTAGGGCCAAGTCCAAGGTGGAAACCAATGTCGTGGTCCCGGTTCAGCTGGCATCCTCCATGCAGGACTGCCCTCAAATTTAGGGCTCAGGTTTAACGGTTCAGGGGATGTAGGCACGGAAATGGTTATTCCCAAAGGAAACCCAACATTAGGCAATAGGTTGCTTTTCAAGCAAGGACCCCTCAAAAAGGCCCATGAATTCAAGAAACGCTCATATGGTGTTTCCAAGAACTGGGATCCCCTTTTTCGAGGTACTCATAACAACGACGAGAGGTTTCTTGGACTCTGCAAGGAGCCCCTTTGTTTCGGGACAATCCCATACGATGGATGTAGGACAGCTCGCGCCACTCAACGGTCAAAACGCAGTAACATTGGGGGTGCCGGAGTTCCAGCATTGACAGTATTTTGGGTTGCTGTTAAGGAACTTAATTTAAGTTACTATATTGGGGAAACCCTCTTATTTACTATATATACCCACTATGGTAACTTAACTTAAGTTCATTAAATCCCTATTTTCCCTCAGCTTCCATTTCTTTTTCCATTTTCTTTTCCATTTGATTCTCCATTATAGGGGGATAATCCCTTAATTTAAGTTCCTTAACAGCAACCCTAAACCCTAAACCCTAAACCGTAAACCCTTAAACCCTAAACCCTAAACCCTAAACGCAACCCAGTATTTTGGCCTTGATTAGCTTGAAAGGAGCCCTCTGCGGCGCTACTGCGCCCGAAGCTCACGCGACTTCTGCCGCAGTTCCTGGTGCCTGTGCCGGAGGCATTGGAGAATTCCTAGTGTTTGGAGCCAAAGGCTCAGTATTTGGGGCTTAGGGCTCAGGATGAGGGCTTAAGGTCTAGGGGCTGTGGAGTCTATTGTTAGATGACATTGCCAAGAACCAGTGTAGAAGCTTTCTAGCCCAGAGGTTATTCCAGGGCTACGGTGGTTTGTAGTAGCCATATCGTTAAACTTGTGTATCTGCTTTTCGTTTTTGGTCAGCATAGATTTGGGGTGGACTTGCGGCCTCCTGTTTGTTGGGAGGGCCATACATGTAAGTTCTGGTATAATCGTAGCTTCCATTGTTTCTTTTCCATTATCCCAAAATAAGCCCAATATACCATCGTAGTTTCCATTTTCTTTTCCATTATCCCCAGACTACCATCGTAGTCTCCATTTTCTTTTCCATTATCCCAATATAACCCCAATATACAATCGCAGTTTCCATTTTCTTTTCCATTATCCCAATGTAACCCCTACGGAACCCAATATAACCCCAAGAACACTAATTTAGACAAGGCTTACAAAAGCAACCAACTACAGGGACTTACAGGTTATATCGGGTTACATAGGGGCTACATTGGGATAATGGAAAAAATGGAAGCTACTATAGTATATTGGGGGTACATTGGGATACTGGATAAGAACATGGAAACTACTGTAGTGTTTGGGGTTACATTGAGATAATGGATAAGAAAATGGAAGCTACTGTAGTATTTTGGGGTTACAGTGGGATAATGGATAAGAAAATTGAAGCCACTGCAGTATTTTGGAGTCATATATTGAGATAAGAAAATGAAAACTTCTAGGATGGGAAAATGCTCAAGCAGTAACCAGGTAGTTTTTTTGAAAAGTGTCTTTTACACGTACAGTCCCCCTGAAGATAGAATATAGCCTTGGGTATATGATAATAAGATCCCCATATATCCCATATTCTATCTACTTAACGGGGACTATACTTCTAAACACGCTGCTGTTTTTAGTTACATAATTTCCAGGAGCCCTGAAAGGTCGCTCTCCGGATTTCTTGGGCGGCCGTCCTACCTGATGGCCTGGACAAAGACCTCGTTGACGTGAGCCGCCCCGAGGCAAGGGTGGGTAAAAAGCTTGTTTAGAAAAGCACTTGAAGGCTCAGGGGCCCTAAGCCCTAAACCCTAAACCCTATGTTACAAATGGGGTTATGAGCAGACGAACCCCAATGAGGGGACTGATAGGTCCGCTTTTAGACTGCTTACTAAGTCCCCCGAGCAATCAAGTTAGAGTCTAAGAGCGATAGCAATAAGAGTCTGCAGAATGTTATCGCGGTAGTACATTCTCAGTAGATTCTTACAGGTTAGATTGGGTTACTATAGGGGTTAGTTACATTGGGAATATGGAAAAAAGGAAACTACTATAGTATGTTGGGGCTACATTGGGATAATGGAAAAGACACTGGAAAAAACACTTAGCATCTTGCGTGTCCTCGGTATACTTTAGTACCCTGACTCATGAATTTGACGGCGCGCGGTTCATGCTGAATTTGTAGTATGACCTGTATTTCCCTCTTCTCGTTTCGTTCACATGCTGCTTACAATTTCCCGGAATATTAACCCGTCCACGCCCTAAACATCCCTTTCCGCAAGCCGCTGTCATTGCAAGCCTCAGCCCCTAGCCCTTGGTAAGCTGCCCTGGGCCTCCAACAAATTAGACATCTCCAACCCAACAACACTTGATTAGCCCTAAGCCTCAGACACTTCAAAAGCCCTAGAAGCCCCTTAAACCTTAAACCGCGGCAACCTGAAACCCTAGGGTGCAGGGTGTAGGGTCTGGGGTATAGGGTATAGGGTCTAGGGTTTAGGTATAGGGCTTAGTGTCTAAGGTAAAGCCTAAAATTCAGTCCTTTTGGCAGGCAGTGCTCGCAAGCCTGGACATTGACCGCTCGGTGCCATCTGCCGCCTTCAGCGGAGGATTTTAAGATCCCAGACCACGCTCTGTAACACCTATGGGGTTTAGGGTGTGTATATAGACCCTAAACCCTGAACCCTAAACCTTAAACCCTAAACCCAAAAGAAAGGCCACCGAAGACCTTTTGGAGTTCGTGTTAAGATCGGGTTTGGAGATGTTACGATGGACGGAGGAAATGTGGCACCACTTCGGACCCTCTTATACGGTAATTCCTGGAGGATAAGATACACGGGGTGGTGCAAGATTTCATCTATCCACAGTACCACAAGGAGCTTGCACATCTTAGCCCTAGGAGAGAAGTGAACCCTCAGCCTTGACCCTATAGTCCCCCTTAAGGAGATAGAATATGGGGCATATAGGGATCTTATTATAATATGCCCAACGCCATATTCTATCTACGTAATCTACTTAAGGAGATCATGGATCAAGCCCTGAGCCCTCCATCCTACGCCCCAAATCACCGTCAAGTTTTCGCTGCGCTTGAGGAAAGCCTTAGCTTTCGGCTATTTGACTTACGAGTTACTTTTTAAAGGGATCTCAAAAGCCTACGCCTTTCCTACCTTTGAAGGGGAGTATAGCCCTAAACCCTTAAACCCTAAACCCTAAACTCCAAACTCCAAACTCTAAGCCCTAAACTAAAGACGTGGGAGTTGCATGGGGATTCCATGGAGAGGAGCACAGGAGGCGGAGATGCGGCTGCAAAGCTTCCTTCCAAATCTGACGCAGTGTTTGGGCCTGGTTATCAGGGTTATATGAGCTATAGTCTAAACTCCTTAAAGGGTGCTATATAGGGGATTATATAAGGGCCTATTATAGGAGATTTTAAGGGGATACTAGGAGTTTAGACTATGGCTCATATAGGGATAACGGAAAGGAAAATGGACATGACCATTTAGGGTTTAGGGTTTAGGGGTACATATACGGATAATGGAAAATAACATGGATACTACTATATCGTATCTCTCAAGTAGCTCAGGTAGATTCTTGGGGAGGGTTTGTGGTTTAGGAGTTTAGAGTTTGGGGTTCATCCCAAACCGTGGGGCTTAGGGTTGAAACGGGCTCCGGATAGGATAGACCCTCTAACAAACTTGTTGGCTTCCCTTACGCTTCACTTCTCAGAGTCCTTCTTAGGGGGTCTGCCTTTTTTGGGGGCTCCTCAGGAGTTTTCCACAGTTGGAGGATGAAACAGGGGTCGGTGCTGGATACGGCCCCCGCCAACTAACATGCCAACGTAGGAATCCCCAGTTTTTAAGAGGGCTCCCTTGTCAGGTTCCATGGGTTTAGGGTTTTGGGTTAAGGGTAACCTTTCTGCATGGTACAACTCAAGAGTCGCAGCGCCCTGGCAAGGAACCAGAAAGCCGAGACTCCAAAAGTCCTGAGCCCTAAGCCCGGAACCCTTGAGTCAAAACCTTAAACCCTGAACCTTTAAACTGTTTCTCCTAAACCCCAGACCATAAACATCTCAGGGCCAACTTTGTGGGTTGAGCGCAGAGCCTCGGGAGTTTTCCCGTCCAGACTTATTCGGAGAAACCTTGAAGGTCCAAGTACCCCTTGGTCTTATACTTCCCAAAACCTAAAGCCCAACTATGATCATTATTCAGTCCTACGTATCAATGACGGGTATGTGGACCTTTAGGGTTACTTCTACACTGAAGAATTAGAACTCTGCCATAGTCTTCCAAGCATGGATGGAATCGGGGCTCAGGATGGCTCAACGTGCTTCATGCCTTTAAGCCTTAGGTTCAGGGTTTTCGGGTTCCGGGTTTCAGTTTCAGGGTTTAGGGTTCAGGGGTTTAAGGTATTAGGCTGAACCCTAAACCCTACACCCTAAACCCTAAACCAAAAACCCTAAACCCTGATTGGGGTCCCTAAGCCCCAAGCCCTGCAAGAGAGTTCCTGGAGGTATGGCAGTGGCAAGGCCAACGATCCAACCCTGCAGACCAATTCTTTCCTGTCACCGTACCTCCACTATGGGCAGGTCTGGCCGGGAGAAGTTTGGGTTTAGGGTTCAGGGTTTAGGTTGAGGGTTCTGGGTCAAAGCTTTAGGGCTCAGGGTTTAGGGCTTGTAGGAAGTGATAAGGTTTTCTGAAACTGGAAAGGCATCGTCAAGAGAAGTAAGAATGGATGTTTCAGCTCTGAGGGCGTCGAAACAATGGAATCCTTCTTTGGCATTCTTGCAATCAACATAACAGTTCCCAAACTCAGCACAACGGTGGTTGTCGTGAGGAAACAATATCCGAAGCATCTGTTGTTGATTATTTGCTGGGCTCTCAAAATTTCTGGGCCCATCTATTTGGGAAACTTGATGATCGTCAATACAAAGCTTTTTAGCTGGTAAGGAGGACCCTAGCCCAAAACCCTGAACCCGAAAACGTACAGCCTAAATGAGGGAGCAGAACGAATCGAGTTGACCCTGTGCCCCAGACATCTACAAGATCACACTCTAAACCATTCATGTAGGGTTGCCATTACGAGATCCATGATGAAATCTTCTAGAAAACGTACGCCAATCCGAAGAAAAATCCTTCCTTCTTACAGCCACCGCCTCATTGTGGAGCCAGGATTTGCGCTGTTGAGAGGTTGCGTTTAAGTTGTTTGGGTTTAGGGTTTAAGGCATGAGGCTGGACAGGATGCAGCAAAAGAAGACCCAAATTGCACATACATGCGCCAAGGCTCAAAGAATCGCTCCCTGAACGTTTTCTGGCATTAAGGTGAGATTTGACGTACATACCGGGAGGGGAAATTTCCCCCGCAGATTGGAGAACCAAACGGAAAAGAACATGGAACATGAAATGGAAACTGGGAGTATGTTGTGGGTCACATAGGGGTTCGGGCTTTCGAAAAATTAGGGGTCTCTTTTTGTGGTTTTCTGGAAACTACCACATCAGCTTTGACATCTGAGCCATCATGCTCCAATGATCATCTTCCTTACCTCAGAAGATGTTCTTACATCACGCAACTTAAGTCCGGAGGTGCACAAATAGACCCCAAGCCCGAAACCCCAAACCCTGAATTCTCTACATTAATGCCCTAGACCCTAAGCCTCTTAGTTTCCATTTTCTTTTCCATTATCCCCATATAACCCCTTATATTCTATCTACTTCAGGGGGACTATAAACCTCATTTATCCAAGCCCTAGACCCTAAACCCTAAACCCTAAACCTTAACCCCTAAGCCTCATTTATCCAAGCACTCTGGGAGGTATCTTCGCTTGAGGTGGCACTGCGCTGCCGAAGCCACGCCGCTGCTAGCGGGGTGGCTCCTGAGAAGGCTGCCTCCTCCCAAACAATTTAGGGGTTTCCCGAAATTAGGGGTACCATTTTGGGGGTCCCAACAATAAGGATTATAGCATTTGGGAGTATATATTGGGTTCCCGCTTTTTGGGAAACTACCATTTAGGGTTAGGGTGTTAAGGGTTTAGGGCTTGGGGTTTGGGGTTTAGGCTTGGGGGTTTAGGGTCTCGAGTTGGGGGTTCAGAATTCGGAGTCTTGGGTCCAGGGTTTGGGGTTTAAGTAGTTGGTTTAGGCTTCAGGGTTTTGAGTTTAGAGTTTGACGTTAAAGGGTGTAGGGGTTTGATTGATGAGAACTGAAGAGAGAAACAAGGGTGTAGGGGGTTGTTGAGCATGGAAGATGGAAACTGCTTGATTACTAGGGGCTCAGGGTGGAGTTCAGGGTTCAGGGGTGTTGGGCCTGTAGGAGGTCAAGGAGGATGGGAGCAAAAATGGAAGCGGCTATCAATTGTTGGGATAAGGGTCTAGTATTCTATGGTTTGGAGGTTAGGCATATAGACAACTGTCTGGGGGGTAGTACTCCCTTCCTCCACCCCCCCTTGGCCACCAGAACGTAAATTTGAAACCCCAATCAGATCATGTACCCGAAGCCCGAAGCCGAAATCCCGGATGTGCTTTGCTGAGGCGAAGGGCCTGTCGACTGGCATATCGGCCTTCCTGGATGAGCTGATCATACGAAGAGAACTTGCAAAGAACTTCGTCTACTACTGCTGCAGGTCTGGCGCAGAGGGGGGATAGGTTTAGGGGTTTAAGGTTCAAGCGAAGTAAATGGTGCAATCTGGCACCAGTGAGCATCACGTAATTCCCATACAACTCTATGTCTACAATAGGTATTTTCTGGACTCCGATATGCTAAAACCGATATAGGGACCTCCCAAAAAGGCACCCCTAATTTTGGGAAACTCGTCATCTGCTTATATGCTACCAGAACCCAGTTTTCCAAGTGGTTTACGGCTTGAAGAGCAGGCGTTTGCCCCTAAGCTCGGGCTTAGGGTCTGCAAGCCCTAAACCCAAGACCTGAAGACCTTAAAGTCCCTCAACCAGCTGGTGTTGACTGGGGAGTGGAGCCCTACAACAATCCTCTGTGAACACATCGAGTGAGAAGTATATCCCCATTCCTCCTCACCACAGGAAGGCCTCGAAACCCTAAACGCTAAACCCTAAACCCTAAACCCAATTTTTTCGCCTAAGCTTTTTGAGGGCCCTGTCAGGTACGACTCCTTCGAGTGCTTACCCAGATGGGCTAGCGAGACCTTGACAGAGTCGCAGGCGAACCCTAGGCGGAGGTACCTGAAACGAACAGGTGGGTGTCAGATGAGGATTTTCCTTGTAGATTTATGGGGATTACAAACGAATTCTAGGGCCCCAGAAGGATTATGTAGGAGATGTTGTTCTAAGAAACTACCATGTCATGTTCCCCGAAGCAATCCAAAACCTGTCCAAAATTTGAGGCTACGATTCCGAACTAAACCCTTGAGCACCGACTGCAATCAATCCTGATTGACTAATTAAAGAGAGGCCGAAGCTTTACACCCTGGAGCAGCTTGAGAGACACTGGGCAGTGTTTGTCGTGTACTCGTTAGGGATCGTCATACCTTTTTGGGGTGTATGGGCTTTTTATGACTCCACTGAAGGATCTATTTTCTTCCTATGTTGCTGGCATCTAAGTTTTTGTGAATTCGTTGTAGCTTCGGTTCCTTGTGCCGAGGTAGGAACCATGTCTTGTCATTTTCCGCTGCCTACAAGATTCCTATATCCTAGCAGGGCAGAAAAAGCTGTTGCAACCCAAGGTCAGTACTACGGTGGATACTAGAAATCCTGCATGACCCTAAGTACATTATACCTAGGGAATAATGGTACTATATATAGTATACTAAAGTCATGCAGGATTTCTAGTATCAACAGTAGGACCAGCATCCTGGTGGCATGTTTTGAGCGAAGGAGCAACAGCAACCATCCCAGATGCTCACACGGAAACTTGCACTCAGCCAGCGTAGCAGGAACAATCGGGTATACCTGAGCTGTTATCAGAATCCCCATGGGCAAGGGAGCATCTCATTGTTCAAAACAGCAGCCATGAAGGCGGCTTCAAGAGAGGCATTCTAACAGGTAGAAAGTATCTATGGAGTGGTCAGGGCCGTGGGCAGGGAAACCCCAAACTTTGAAAATGGAATGTAGAGCCCAGCAACCTCCAAGGAGGAGAGACAGCGGATTTGTATTGGAACTTGGCACAGTGGGAGATGGTTGCCACTGGACACATGCACAACTACATGCGCATGTACTGGTGCAAGCAGCTCATCACCTGGACGGCTGCTCACCCAATCTAGTGTGCGGTTGCGCGTTGAGTTCGTCCCAGGAACGGAAGAGAGATTCTTTGCAGTAAGCCCCGCAATCGCAAACCTTGAAGCCAAAAACATGAGAAGCAAGGAGAGCCCTGCCTCTGCATACAACTGGGCGGTTCATCTCAATGACAAGTTCTCCTTGGACGGTCGCGATGAGAATGGCTACATGGGAATTGCCTGGTGCTTCGGAATGCACGACACCGGTTGCGTAAGCGGTTTAGGGGCCTATCTAATTATACTCGGGTTGTGGGCTATGTTGTGATTATGTAGGGAGTATGAGGGGATAGTAAAGTCCCATCTAGTGCAAAGCGTTCGTTGAGGTGAGCAGATTCTGCGAAGGATTTTGGCTAGGGGTCTGCTGCACAACCTTCTCAATCAACCAGCACATAAATGCACAAGCAAAGACAACAATCTGTTAGTTGTAACGATTGTAAGGACCCAAACATGTAACCCCTATATACTATAGTAGTTTCTATTTTATTTTCCATTATCCCCATATAACCCCAATATAATCCCTCCATGGCCCAAGACCTCAAAAAAAGGACCTGTAGCACTGGGAATGGATCCCCGCAGCCTGCGGTAGACTCTATTTATCCCCGAGAATAATCCCTATGATCCATTCCCGCATTCCCTGCGAGCACCCCAAGGAGAGAGAACAACATGCTGGATGTACCCTAGGTCCTTATAGTCGGTTATATTGGGGTTATATGGGGATAATGGAAAATAAAATGGAAACTACTCTAGTATATAGGGGTTATATGTTTGGGTCCTTACGATCGTTACCCTAACTTGGGAAACTGCACCATCCCTGAAGGACAAGCCTTTTCCCCGGCGGGACATTTTTGGATCTGTGCGGTCCATGACACGATCTGGCCTGGAGGGTAAGTTTAAGATGGCGCAGTACCGCCTGCTGGTTCAGCCCCTCAGTTGACCAGGGGGGGGGGTTGCATTGGGGTTATATGGGGATAGTGGAAAACAAAATGGAAACTACTATAGTATATAGGGGTTATATGTTTGGGTCCGTGAAAGCATTGAAATTGGGGATGTCTGCAATCGCAGGATGTAGGGGAGGGTTAAGGGCTAAAACGATTTAATCTGGGGGTTCATTACGTTGAGTAGGGCTTGGGCTTCAGGGCTCAGAGAATATGAGTCTCCAAGGCTGTTCTGATTTGTTGATGCTTGGGCTTGGATCATGTTGACTGCAGGCGCAGGGTCTCGCAGGTTTCAGAAGCTAAGAGTTTGATATAGTAGTTTCCATTTTATTTTCCATTATCCCAATATAGCCCTATAATATTACCCCATATTATAGTAGTTTCCATTTTCTTTTCCATTATCCCTATACAGCCCAAGTCACACGGTCTCTGTAGCTGCATTAGGCTTCTTGTTCCCTTGCATGAACGCTAGCACGGTGCCATACAAGGGTACCACCGTTGCGATGCCTCTGTTCTCTTACTGGTGGTTAGTGGGGAATAGGAGGCTATAATCCCTATGTGCACTATAGCCTAAACTCCTTAAAGGGGGTTTTATAGGGGATGATATAGGGGATTACGAAAGGGGTTATTAAGAGGGATACTAGGAGTTTAGACTATGGCTCATGTATTTCTATCTAGTATATTGCCTTATTCCCTACTAACACCCAGTGAGTTGTATGTTCCCTGCGTGGCCTAAGAGTACCGTATGCCATATGTCAAGAGCAGCGAATCCTCAAACCCTGAACCACACACCTATTGCTCAGACCCCGCTTGAAACCTCAACATCGACCCCAAATACTATAATCCTCATTTTGGGGACCCCCCCCCCCCACCAAATGGTACCTAATCTGGGAAAAGTCCCATATAGACATACTTCGCCTCATCTGGCTTGGGTGTATTAAAGTCGTGGGACTTTTCCGGTTAGGGCTTCAGGGTTGCGGCTACTTGCTGGATGAGTCAGGATTTACCCATCCTCTCTTGGGTTACTAAGTTACTAGACTGGGCAGGGGTTTGGTTGGGGTGGGGTTTATTTAGGGAACTACTAGATCATGACCCGAGAAACACCCCCAATCCTTGACCCCAGCCCCCTCTCCCCGCTATATCCCGAGCCCCGAATCTAAATCCCAAGCCCCTACACGTTTGAGCTACAACTCCAAGCCGTAAACATAAAAGCAAAAGCCCTAAACTCTGAACCTCAAACTGTAAACTGTGAGCCCCAACCCCTAAAACCTAAAACCTACTTCGCTCTAAACCCGAACCAGATCAGGCGGAAGTGCTTGCAAGCAGCGAGAGCTGAGCCCCGCCTTCGAGCTATTCTGCCGGCTGAGGCTGAAGTAGCCTGAAGTCAGGGATTGGTAGCTAGGTTTAGGGTTTAGGGTTAGGGTTGGGGATGAGGGTTTAGGATTTAGGGATGAGGGTTTAGGGCTTAATTTATGGCTTGAGGAGAAGTAGCCTGAAGTGAGGGATGAGTAGGTAGGTTAATCATGGATAAGAAAATGGAAGCTACTGTCGTCTTAAGTATTTAGGGGCTGGGTTTAGCGTTTAGGGCTAGGGCTTAAGTTTGGGTTTTCAAAAATAGGGGTCCCCGAAATATGGATCCCAATAGTAGTATGGTCCTCAGTACAGGACCTCAACAAAGAGACGGTTGGGGAAACGAGGATGTAATGTACGTAGGATACATATGGCTACAACTCTAAACCATAAACCCTAAACCCTAAACCCTAATCCCTAAACCCTAAACCCCACCTTGGGTACCTAGGGTATATACTGGTCTTTAGCTTTGTCGTTCTAGCCTGGTCTTTGCTATTTTGCATTCTTTAGGGTTTAGAGTGTCGGGTTTAGGGAAGCCCGAAGCCGCACTGACATCCTCCACTCCAGGATGGATTAAGGCCATTAAGCAGGGGGTTTCTGTGCTTAGACACACCCGCGTAAAATCATCCTTGTTATAGGAAGCCCCTCCATAAGGCCCCTATTTTGTGGAACCGCCCTAAACTGGGAACCCTAAACTGCGCAGGCAATTGAAGGCGGCAAGCGCGGTGGCTCTTTGCTGGCCTTCCTGGCATCTAGCCTTAGTGTTGGTGAGTTTGAGTTTGGCGTTCAAGCTTTAGGGATTTAAGGATTAGGTGTTTGGGGCTTCGGGCTTAGGGGTGTAGGTGCAAGCTTGGGTCACTTTCAGGGTTTTCTACAGTAGTGTGGCCATATGATCGCTTGTGTTTGCAGTTTCTGGCCGCGAATTCGTTGTTCAAGGTTTATGGGCAGAGAATGTAGGCATTTTTGTTTTTGGGGTTCTATTTCAGGCATTTTGGCTATCAACTCCCTGGGCAGATGTTAAAGCCCCTTCATTTCCAAGTAGAACTTACGACATGGATGCCCAACCCCGACCACTTTACTCTGAACGTTAAAACAGAACTCTTAACCCTAAGCCATTCTGCACCTTACTCGCAGTTACTGGGGATGAGTAGGGAATAAGGGAAATCTTGTAGAGGGATTCGAATTCTGTTTTCCCTACTGGCCACCAGCCTTACCCTACACACCAAACCGCAATAATCCCTACACCCTATAAACCCTAAACCCTATGCTTCTGAGGCTGCGCCTGGTGCAGCACAGGCGCCAGATCAGTCGAAGACCCTCTCGGCAGAGGGCGAGGGCTACTTGGCGTGTTGCTTAGGATTCAGGATTCTTTAGGATTAAGGATTCAGGGTCCGGGGCGTAGGATCTAGGATGGGAATTTCGGGTTTATGATTTGGAAGAGTTTAGGACTAAGGATTCAGGGTTTAGGGTTTAGGATTCAGGGTTCAGGGCTTAGGGTGTGGTGGTGCTTGAAGAGGTGGAGCGCATATAGGTATGAGTATACGGTTAAACACATGTGGACTATGTGGGGGTCGTTCGAGGATAGCTTATGGACCAGGAGAATTGTTTCCCATTATTTGACTGTCTGGGCCGATTAGGACGTAACCATTACGCAAGGTCCTCCCGGCAACCTCCACCCAAAAATGCTTTGAAGCCCTAAACCCTCAACTTTTACCCCTGCCCTAGAAAGTAGCTAACATTATGGCCCAACACCCAAAAAAGAGGTCAAAAAGCCATCATTCTACAGATGTTTCAAGTCCAGGTCAGCACCAGTCCCGGAACCTTTATCCCGCAACCAAACCCTAAACCCTGAACCCTTATCCCGAAACGCCATTTCAATTCTGAGGCGAGGTGCCCGAGGGCCAGCGCACCCAGAAGCGACAGAGGTCCTCGGAGCCCGCTGGAGCCAATGCGAAGACGCTCCATCGGTTTTTCCCCACGCGCGAAAAGAGCGCCACGCAGCCCGAATACGCCCAGACCGTAGTGCAGCATCCCCCAAGACCTTGTTCTAAGCATTTTGGCCTCCACATGAGTCACTGTCAATATTGGCTTTCTCAAGTGGCCCTGAACAGTGGACATAGAGGTCCCCCTTGCCCTTGTAGTTTTGTATAGTCCTTGATATAGTCTCTGAGTGGGGCAGGGCCGAGTCGGCCCCGCGGTTGCTAGCTAGGGTGGTCTGTCATGGATGTCATGGACCCTCAACCCTAAATCCTAAGCCTAAATCCTAAACCCTAAATCCTTAACCTTGAGTTCTAAATCCTAAGCTCCCTAAACCCTCATCTCCCCCAAAAGGACAGCCCCAAGCCGAAGCTCCTCACAAGCTTACATCCCCAGCCATGCCTACAGTTTGACTTACTGGCAGGGGGGGGGGTAAGAGGGAATAAGGGAATGCAATATCTTATTTAGGTATTTGGGTTATTCTATAGGGTTTCTAGGATTGAGGGTTTAGGGTTAGGAGGGAATAAGGGCTTATCTAGGGATCATATTTCCTAATTCCCTACATTCCAGGTCCGTGCTCAGCGAAGGCTGAAAGCCTCAATCCCCCCCCAGCCCTCCCATACTTAAGGACTTAAGGGGTTTCCCAACCCTAAACTCTAAACCCTAAACCCTAAACCTTAAACCCTGAACTAGGGATCCCTTTTGAAGGGTTATCTAGGGGTGATATCGGGCTTTAGTACCACTTGTGTGAGTATTCTTATGAAACTAGTACATTATAGGCCCTGTGACTGTGTGGAATAGGATTATGGTTTCAACGTAAGCTGCCATCACAAACGCCACTTCCCAGACACTCCATCGAGTTGTGTGATTTTGAAAGGAAATGGATTCCTGCATGGGCCAACAGCCCAGAAAGGCTTTGCTTCCTCAACTGAGTACCACCAAGAAGCTATTGCTGTACTTTCTCACGTCCTTCCCACCTCTAACCCCACCTATAGTCCCCCTTAAGTAGATAGAATATGGGGTATATGGGGATCTCAATATAATATACCCAAAGCCATATTCTATTTACTTAAGGGGGACTATAACTACTCATCCTGGCCAGGGTGAAAAATCTGGCTTTGTCCAACGATGCGGAGCAGGCTATGCGCTTTCGCAAGGCCAGAGCCCACCATGGAGTCACGGATCATGGCGTCGCGGGAAGAATGACGGTTTAGGGCTGTTGGGTAGGGTTTAGGGTTTAGGGTTTAGGGTACTACCTTGGCCCTTTGGGGGTTTATTGGGAGGTGATTATTCCAACAGATAATGCAGGAGTTGCTCCAAGTGCTGAGGCCCTTGGGGCCCTATAGAGGAGTTGTGCAGGTTTTGTGGGGTTGCCCCTTAACCACCTTGATGGTACAGCAGCACAGCATATCTCCAGACCTTCTTTCAATCAGTCAGGCCCGTGCATGAGATGAGAGCTTGAGAGTTTGGAGCGTTGCAAGCCAGAGCCTGTATGTTACACGCATGGCTCCTCCAAAGGTTGCCAAAATTGTGGCCCCGGTTTTGGGCTACCTAGAAATGCGGGGGCGGTGTTATATAGGGCATTCAAAAAATTATGGATAGTCCACCATGTAAAAACCTGCTCGCAGCTCAGTTGAACTGATTTGTCTAGTAAGCTTTCGTTGCGTGACTTGGGAAATGATTGCCTAAGGTGAAGTCACAGCTGTGCTGTAATTTTTCGAGAGCACGGTGTAGACTTGCATCTTTGTTTACGGGTGTTAAACTTCAAGCCCAATGCCGTGCACCTCAAACTCCGACAGTAACTCGAAATATGGAGTTCAGTTGGGTTTAGGGCTTAGGGTCTAAACTCCTTAAAGGGGCTTATCTCGAGGACTGCTATATGGCTATATGGGTCATTAGGTGGGATACCAAAAGCTTAGGGAGGATATCTTATCTGGAAAACCTGACACCCCTGTCCCCGGGGTAGGTTGTCCAAAATTATGACCCTCTCTGGCGTCCCTCATAGAATTCGACCCCGAATATTTACGGTACCCAAAACCCTAAACCCTAAAACTCCAAACCCTAAACCCTAAAACCCTAAAGCCTAAAGCCTCAAAACCCTGAAACCCTAAGCCCCAAATCCCT